TTCCGGTGAGGCGAACGATGTCCTTGAATGCCCCCACAGAATGATACTACCCTCATATTCAGCAGGTTTATACATGGCAAGCTAAATACATGCCGCAGCAGACTCACGTTGTCGGAAATCGTGTTAAAATGACGCTGCCAAATAGCGTCACCGCGATCTTGCCTTTCCATTGCGATCCAGCGAGACTCGTGCAGTTGCCTAATGGAAGCAATGTGATGTGGTAACGTTCAGGTGAAGGATCAGTGTTTCATATGAGGGTTACCAATTTCGGTATTGCTGCGCCGGTCTCTGAAAAATCTTCTTTATCGTGCAACTAGCCCTGCAACCGTGGTTCGATAATGCCGTCAACTCCCCTGCATCAGGTGTCTTGCTAAGCTGAAAACCAGCGCCAGTTTATGTCGACGCGGGATGCCTCGATCCAAATCGGATGGTTGCCTTTTGCCTTGCCTTAGTGGACGAACACGTTCGACGTCACCATCACCCAGACCACGGGTGCGACCACGAGCACCGCTGTGGTCATCATCCCTTGGCCCCGTCGGCCGTATTGTAAGCATTAATGGAAACGTTTCTTCATCGTACAGCCTTTCTCTGGTTTGGTTTTCACCAGTACTTATAGTAGTTGACGCCGAAGGACTCCTATAATTAAGCAATATAAAATGAGTGAAGAATCGCGTATTATATAAATCATAATTATTACATATTTGGCATATAGGGAGAAATGGCAAACAATATTCCTACTCTCGATTCCTTCTTTAATACTGGTGAACATGAAACGATAGGATATCAACTAGATATTGGTAAGATTATAAAAGATAAATTTGCAATCGGAAAACCAGCCATTTTTTTTCTATACTCGAACTAAATACAAAAATACTTTGTCTACAATAATATCGCATTCACGAATTTTGTCATGTTGGTAGAGAGTGCATGTGGGTGTTTAAGGAATCGCAGATTGTAGTTGATTGAACAATCTTCTCTGAAGGCAACAGTGCGATAAGACAGAATACCCTAGAGCTTTAGGAGAGCTGGAGTGTTGTTCGAGAAGACGACTGGGTCAAAAAAACTGTTTGAAATGTGTTAGGAGAATGACAAAATGTTTAGAGAAGTGTGCTGCCCATAATTTGAGCAAGACCTTTCAGTAAATTTAATGTTTTCACAATTTTACACAGGAAAGAAAAGAATTACTCTTCCAAATGGAGTACCTCTGAAATTTGCAGATATCATCTCACTTGCTGGGGATTATTATGGCATACCAGATGTTCCCATTGTAAATCTTTTGCAAAATCCAGCTCAGCCTGATCCAGGTGTGACACAAAGATTCAAGAATGCGTACTCCACGTTCGCAGAAACTCCATACAAAGGAAAATATAAGGTTTAAGATGTTAATATTTCACTCCATACCGTTGACAAAGAAAAATGAAAGAACAAAGAGAAATTAAATTCCCCAACTCTATAGGGACGTTTACTGTAGCTATATCATGTAACAGTTATGATATATGATCCAAACGATCTCTCAAAGACAAATATGCGGCCATTTTGAGGGCAGAGTACTTCAAAATCGTGAGATTTCTCAATAACAGCGACTATTTTTATTCATAGATTGTACACCAATTCATAAAGATGCATTTTATACTGTTATGTTCGTTTAAATTTGCTTAAAGATTCGTCATATGTCGTGAAAAGGCTAACACATATGTCTATGCATATATCGTTAATGAGTAGCTACGAACGAGTTTAAACTCCTGTTTTCTTATGTTATTTGTAAAAAAAAGTTCAATGATAACTGATACATGTATATTCTAACATTCATACGTCAAGGAGCAACTGGACAAACTACTAAAAATGATCAAAGACGAGACGCTTTGCAAAACTGCAGAATGTCATCACACTGACAAAGAATGGGACGAGGCAACAGGCGGAATATGGGCAGGTGGAATACCCGTGGTTCCTGGGAGAATGCTTTCACTTGGAGAAAAAAACTTTGATCACTTTCAACCCCATGCTAAGATGGCCTATCTTGCTGGACACGAATACTCTATTCAGAAAGCAAGAGAAGCAGGTAGGAACTTTACTCATCAGCATTAATTTAATCTCGTTCACATTGGTGCAAATACTCTTGAAGGAATAGCAAGACGTCAGAAAATCACTACATTTTCTTTAGGAGAAAGCAGTGAAAAAGACCGACAAAAGTTGCTTGATATGGCGTACTCAATCGAAGCGTTTGCCCTTCACTTCTTTACCGATTCATTTTCAAGTGGACATATCAGGTAACAAAAAAACGTTAATTTAAACAATTTTGACGGGGATTAAAGAAACTATCCAGTATAGGACTAAAGTATCCAGTAATCACGAAAAAGACAAATGACATTACAACAGTGGTAACAACGAACAATGATAATTACAGTTAGAACAAAGATAACTACAGGAAAACAATGAGGATGACTACAGTTAGAACTAGGATAACTACAGTTAGAACAAGGATAACTACAGTTAGAACAATGATAACTACAATTAGAACAATGATAACTACAATTAGAACAAGGATAACTACAGTTAGAACAATGATAACTACAATTAGAACAATGATAACTACAATTAGAACAAGGTTAACTACAGTTAGAACAAGGATAACTACAGTTAGAACAATGATAACTACAATTAGAACAATGATAACTACAATTAGAACAAGGATAACTACAGTTAGAACAAGAATAACTACAGTTAGAACAATGATAACTACGGTTAGAACAAGGATAACTACAGTTAGAACTAGGATAACTACAGTTAGAACTAGGATAACTACAGTTAGAACAAGGATAACTAGAGTTAGAACAAGGATAACTACAGTTAGAACAATGATAACTACAATTAGAACAATGATAACTACAATTAGAACAAGGATAACTACAGTTAGAACAAGGATAACTACAGTTAGAACAAGGATAACTACAATTAGAACAATGATAACTACAATTAGAACAAGGATAACTACAGTTAGAACAAGAATAACTACAGTTAGAACAATGATAACTACGGTTAGAACAAGGATAACTACAGTTAGAACTAGGATAACTACAGTTAGAACTAGGATAACTACAGTTAGAACAAGGATAACTAGAGTTAGAACAAGGATAACTACAGTTAGAACAATGATAACTACAATTAGAACAATGATAACTACAATTAGAACAAGGATAACTACAGTTAGAACAAGGATAACTACAGTTAGAACAAGGATAACTACAATTAGAACAATGATAACTACAATTAGAACAAGGATAACTACAGTTAGAACAAGGATAACTAGGGTTAGAACAATGATACAACAAGGGTGACTACAGTTATAACAATGAAAGAAAAATGAAAGAACTGCAACAATAGCAGATAACAAGCAATGATTTATACCAATTGCTGCCTTATTAGCTAAGATTTCACTCGACATTTCAGAACACCAAGAGTGGGTTTACCAATCAACATTACACCAAGTTTAACAGGAGATCTTCTTAGTAAATACATGCATGATGAAGACAACAAGTTTGGTCTTCGTGTTACCAACGTGGAGATAAATGGATTGCTTATGGGGATGGAATGCTCAAGAACACAAAGGATGAGGTAAACTCTCAAATGTTCATTTTGTGCTTTGCTAATTGCTTTGAAACCTATTGCTTTTAACATGATAAAAATAGAGTATAAATACACCGCAAGGCTCCTCAATTAATTTCTTCTCGCCAAACCACTGAATACTCTTTTGATTGTATATAATGACAACTTACTACATTGCGCTATTATAATTTAATTCTGTGGCAAAACCAGGTGCAATTTTCATTGAGTTCACAAAAATGAATTCAACAGTTTTTTCAAATTGGCAATTGACAATGTATTTTTATTAATACATGATCGGCGTTAGCCAATTCTAGGTGTTGCCATCACCCTGGGACACCTCCGCCAAATTTTCCTTGTAGGTCTTGCAGGGGTGCACACTAGGGAGGTGTCTTGTGAAATCAGTCCTAAGCGACAGGAGTTCCAAGACATATGTACTACACCAGAACGACACCAGTGTTCTACACATGTTTATGCATTTTACCTCATTACAGTAGCAAAATGATAAACCAAAATATGTATTCACTTTATAACTAACAAATGTTTTACCTGTTTATTTGCCAAATGACTGAGTTTAGTTGTCCACACTCCATACTCCATGGGGGCCGGGGGACATGAACCAACAGTCAATTTTACAGGTTTAATTGCACTTTACAATTTCTAATCACATTTTGCAATATTTCATGCATTTGCTATATAATACAAATATATAAATATTTACATTAGTTTTATCTATTTATATATTTGTGGATTACATTGACAAAATCATCCAAAAAATATTGTTTATGTTTTCTTAAGAAAAATTTCGAAATTGCTGTGGAAGCAGCACAAGCATCTGTTGACCAAGTAGTCAAAGCGTACAAAAACCCTGACGAGAAAATAGATCCAAGTGCAGTCACTGATCTCTTACCATTTGTGGACAGGAGTGAGAAAAACAACACACCATTGTTTCAAGTCAAAGATGGTAAACTTCATCGTAGATCAGATATCAATAATCTTCAAGATAAGAAAACCATCACGAACTGGTGGGGAACAACCACGGCTGTGAAACTACATTGGTCGTATTTACCTCACAATTCTGCCATATAACATTTCTGTGACGCTTTTAATAAACAGATTTAGATTGAGGACGGGAACGTCAAGAGTACGTAAGATCGCGTAATATGGCGCGAAAATTTGGCGTTGTTTTGTTGACGACGTCGTCTCGTCAGGTTTCAGGACGCCAAAATCAAATTTTCACGTTGTGTTTAGGACGTCGGGTTTTTTGGGGGTTTTTTTGCATCAAAAAGGTACGTACACAAATGATTTTAAAATAATTTGCGGTAGCAACTATTTTATCATTATTTTGTATATTATGTACTAATTAGCATACAAAATTATGCACATTTTGCGTAATTTTATTCACAGTGTTTTTAGTAGATCGAGAATCGAGATAAACACTTTTTACCCAGGACTATAGATCCATCAGAATGGTTTTAAAGATACACGCATTTACAATCATCAATAACTAATAATGTTCATCGTTTGTGAATTGTGGACTTTGTGGTTTTAAAACAGTTGACGTTTCATGGTTTTGTTCAACATTTAACATGATTTTCAAAAAGATTGTTTACGTTTTCACGTATATTCATACAGGCAGAGTATAATTTGTTCACTCTTGACACAACATTTCCTAATTTCGTTTGTCTTTTTTTCAGCATTATTTTGAGTAAGTGCCATTTGCTCTATGGAAGACAAGAAGGATTGCCCAAACAAGAGGTATTGTACACACATCAAAGCTCTGCACAATTTAATAAATTTTATTCAATATACATACAGCTTAATATGCCAATGCACTTAGCTCCCACTGTGCCCCAAGTGTTGGTTATTTATTCAGCAATATCGCCCATAGTTTGCTCACTACTGCTTAAGTAATAAATGAAAATTTCAGTTGAAAGTGTAAAATATTTTTTAGGTCCAGCATGGTGTGGTCAAAAGACAAAGACCTAATACTTTTGAAGGAAGTGGCAGCTCTAGGTGTTCTGACACATAAGCAAAGGTCAAGAGAACGTGGTCTGGGGTGGCAAAGTGTAGCTGATAATGTCAGTACTTTGGGTCAGGCAGTCACTTTGAGGGGGGTCAGAGAGCGCTACAGTTTGGCGGCAAAGAAATATTGCGCCCAAATGGCTAAAGAAGAGCGAGCTACAGGGGAAGGTGGTGAAGAAATGACGGAGTATGAAAAACTGATGGAAGAACTAATCAATATTGAGGACGAGACCGATCGGCAGATGGAAACAGAGTGTGCAGCAAGAAGTCAGAGGATCGAGAATGAACGAGAGCAGGCATTGGAGATGAGGGAACGAGCAATGGAGAGGTTGGGGGAAACAAAGAAAAGGGTTGGAATGACAAGTGAGAGTGGTCCACCTCAGAGGAGAAGAAGATCTGGAGACATGATGGAGTGGTTGCAGCAGAGGGTGGAATTGGAAAAAGAAGAGAGAGAGTTAAAGCAGGCAGAAAAACGGGAGCATGTGGAGATGCAAATGAACCAACATTTGGAACTTTTGCAGGTAGTGCAACAGAGTCAGCAACAGTTCAGCATGCAAATGAAGCTATCTGAGCAACATCTACAACAGCAATTACAAATGAACAACAACAACAACAACAGCACCAGCAAGAATTTGGTTTTTTACAACAGCAAATGTTGGCTTTAATGCAGCAGCAGCAGCAGCAAACACAAATGTTGGCAAACATGCTTAAAAAATAAATTAAGAACATGCATGCATGGTACTTTGTGTCATTGATTAACAGACATTTTATAACTTTATTATATCCTAAGAAGATAAAAAATATTTATAAATTTTTATGTTACAAAATTTATTTACAATTACATTGTGTATTAACAATTTGAACAATATTAAATAAATTATTTGATTTTTCTTGACAAAATGCATATAAAAATATAGGCAATTGGCTAGTATATAAAATATATAGTATATAAAAGTATATAAAATATATATATACATATAGTAATAAAAGTATATAAAAATATAGGCAATTGGCTAGTTGGCATAACTCATGTAAACAAACTATAGATTAGGTCACAACTCATTGCCAGAAATATTCATGAACTGATGGTGGTTGAAGACCAAAAAAATGAGAAACAAGGTTCTCATACAAACATGTGTGAGCATTCTGTAACAATGCAGCAACACAGTAAATCTTTCCAACTGGACTCAAATGTAACTTCATGAGTGCTTTGAAGTCAACAAATCTAAAATATTTAGTAATGTTTCCAAACATCCACTCCACAGAGATTCGCACCTGACTCATCTCTCGGTTGAATTCAATCATCTCGGGTGTTAGCTCCCTATCTCTAAATGGTGCTTGTAGATGGACTCTCAAGGGGTAGGCAGGGTCACCATATATGCAGAGGGGTTGGTTATTGTAGAAGGCAACCTGTTCCAGGCTTGTTAAAAGACCTGATTCATGTAAGATAGTGCTATCATGTCGTTTACCTTCGAAGGGTCCAGCAAGGTTTGCAATCAGACCGTTTGGCACAACTACACTTTGAAATTTTATTGCATGCACCCTTTTGTGACCATTGTACATAGTTCGTTGATGGTACTTTGGTCGTGCAATTTGGCGAACAGTCCCATCCACAAAGCCAAAACAATTGTCAAGTGGGGCACCCTTGTTATGAATCGCATCAGCATAACTTTGAAGCTTTTCTGGAGACAAAAAAGGCTGATTCCAGCTCTCTAGGCGGTGATGATGCTGCTCATACACCAAGTCTAACACTTTGTTGTAGATCAGACACAATTCTGTTGGATTCCTCCCAAACCGGCTTACCATATCGGTGTATCTGCATGGATAGGCAAATCGTTTCAACAAAATAAACAGACCTTCTTCCCCAGAGCATGTTGTGCCTTGTTGACATGTGATTTTTTCAGGAATTCCCAACAGCTGCTTCAGTAAAGGTAGGTCTTTCTTGGCAAACCGTAATTCAGTCCTGCATTCCTCGTCATCCCAAGCATCAACATTAAAAGACTCGAATTTCCAATAAGGGAATAGCGGTTTTGACCAGTTGTAATCGTACAATAAAACAAATTCAGCATCAGATATATATCGTTGAGCTCGCGTAAAAACTAAAGCATCACGAACAGATTGCAAACTCATTTTGTCCAAACTAATGTCCAAATTGTCATGAACCGTTGATAAAAAAACAAATACAGCAAATATCACGAGAGCATTACGCTATTTAACGACTAAAATTTTATTTTAAAAACACCTTTGGGAACAATCTTAAAGGTAACATGGAAATAAAAATAAATATTTTTTGGTAAATGTTTAGTTTTTATATTATATTCAGTTTCATTGACAATCCGTAGATACGCAATAGTTCGTAACATACATATATAGCTTTCATTATATATTTTAAAAACTCTGTTATGGTAAACCTTTTGTTCATCATCCTTTACTTGAAATAGATTTATTCACACAAGTGTTCGGTAATAAAGATGCATTTTCCAAACCAAAAAAATATTCCACGTACTCTTGACGTCCTATATAAAAATCTAAATCTCTTTTTGTCAACAACACGGCGACGTCCTCGAACCAGACCTCACGCAATATTTTGACGTACTCTTGACGTTCCCGTCCTCTATCTAAATCTGTCTAATATATAACTCAGACAGTGTTATGACTGTAGTGTACGACATACTCTGCTTTGATTACCGCAATGCATGCTGGGGTAGGTATAAAAAGAGGGCGGCGCCATTTTGTTATTTTAGTCTTATATTATATTTGTTATATGGCACTTGGCTTCGTTTCTTCTTGTTTCGGCACGTTAATACAATGACTATACAAAACGACACCCTTAGCTAGTGATCGAATATAAATTAGCATGCAGTGTCATTAAACTCAAGGGCGTATCTAACCGGGTGCTGAGAGGGGGAAGTCGCACCTACCCACAAAGTTTGTCCTAACATGAAGGCATATTTAGACTAGGGATCCAAGAATTGTGCAAAGTTAGATAGATAATGCTAAGCAACCAGACATTTGTCCCAACGTTTTGACTTATGGCAATAAAAATAAAGTACTAGGTTAAACATTACCTTTGATCAAACAGGAAATTACTCACAGTACTCAAATTACGTTAGCCGTACGTGATATGGTCATTATTAAATTATAATTTTAGTTGCTCTGCAAAGTATTACAGAGTTCGGTAAAAAACAACCTGTCTCTTCTCCGCAGAATATCAGAGTATCGACTTGGTATCGACACATTATACATTCGTGTAAGAGATCTATCAATACATAAACAACACAGCGTCGTTTCTTCCTAACCTCTTAGCTCTATTTATGGAATAAAACTTCCAAATTATATTTGTGTTGAATTGAATGCTCGTAATTTATAACATAAGTTGATAAATTGCATCGATTCGAGTTTCTGGATTTTTGCACCCGGAATGTTTTAAGCAACACTCGTCGCTCCTCGTTTCTTTACATCATGAATATTTATTGTTCAAGGCCAGGTGGCATAACGAGCGACTAACTCGTTTGAACTTTCGCCACTCATCACAATAAGTATGCAAAGTTTCGTTGAAAATCGATCAAGCTTTTGTGGTAAAATATCGAGAGTTCTCCTCCACATCTGTGCACGTATGAAATTACGTATGAATAGTATGAGTGAATCCTTTATTATTTTCATTTTGAAATTTAAAAGTTTTTCTTGCAATATAATTGGTTAAATATAGTCTAATTAATTCCCAAATCATACTATTTTTGAGCATCAATCACATCATTTATAAGCCAATAAGCTTGAAGCTCTGCACCACAATAACCAATCAGATTTAGTTTTTCAGTGTAACTATCTACCAATCAAATTACAGGGGAAAATGGGACAAAATTTTACTATTTTGATATTTTAATTGCTCCGCAAAATTTCGTGACAAAATTAGATGAAAATTACTCGCAGAGGAGGAATAATTTGCATTTGTTAATGTGGAAATCAAGTCCGTATGTAAACAAACTGTTTGTTTAAATTTTGAACTTCACTATTTTTTAAAATACGATATGCTGTCTGAATATCCAGTGGCGTAACCAGCCTGACGATTTTGTCCCGCTATGAAAATTTCGAGTTATTATAATTATTCTTCTCTTTAGAAATTTATTGTTTTCACAGTCAGTGAACGTTAAAATATTAGCATAGCGGGACAAATCGACAGGTTGGCTACGCTACTGTGAATATCTAACACTATTTAAGTTCGTTACACTTCTAAATTAATATGAACTAGAGTTTATGTTAAGAAAAACTAAGAAACATGCAAAATTTAGGCAATTTTCACATCAAAGGTCCCTCAATTGTTATGAGCTAAATCTATGCGCAGAACCTCTGGCGCTAAACGGACTTGACTTCCACTTTAAATATCTTCTTTCACTTATATATCACTACTTGTATCCAAATTGTCGTAACCGGCCTGAAAACAGCTCCCACGCATATTAAAGCTTGTGTTAGCTAACATGCACTCAATACATTGAAAATTCAAACTGCAAAATTACACGACAAATTAAAAGAGTTGATAAAAACTTATTGATCAGCAATACTGACAAAAAATTATATTATGGAGTTTAAGCTTCGCGTTATACTGGAAAAAGGCAAACAGCAAGGCCTTACTTTCTTTACAGAGTTTTCAATCATCTCCTTCCAATTCATCTCATATTTTTTTTCTAATCTTATTTTATATGGCTTACGTCAAAGCAATGATTGCGCCCGGTGCTTTAAGCCATTGTTACGCCAGGCAATTTCCCTTGCACCTTGTGGATCTAAAAAATCTTCTCACTTTGTGCATAAGGTGTGCCTGTCTTCTTCACGGGGCTTCGGTGGCGCGCAGGGGTTAGCATGATCGCTTTTCGCCTCTAAGTCGTGGGTTCGATTCTCAATCAGGACTCTTGAATTTCTCATGTGAAAAGAGTATGCCAACGCTCTGCCGAAAGTCGCAGGTTTTCTCCGGAAACTCCGGTTTCCTCCCACAGGGAAGGTTGGCGGGTGGGTTAGGATAAAGTATGTTATTACGTAATATTTGATGTAAACTGTAAAGCGCATTTGAACGATATGAAAAGTGCGCTATATAAATGTAATTCATCGTCATCGTCATCGTCATCGTCATCGTCATCGTCATCGTCATCGTCATCGTCATCGTCATCATCATCATCATCATCATCATCATCATCATCATCATCATCATCATCATCATCATCATCATCATCATCATCATCATCATCATCATCATCATCATCAAAACCATCATCATCATCATCATCATCATCATCATCATCATCATCACCATCATCCTTTCTATTTTTGTACATCTTTGGCGTTTTTAATCCACTGCATGAAGGCTATTATCATATTTTCCGTCATCAATCTTAAGCCCAATATAGCTAACGCTGCAGAAAAGAATCTTTTTGTGTGTTTTTTTTAATCAAGCCCACTAAACATGTCAAGTCTGGTGACATTATATCATAACGTATGCCTGCAGCAAATGATTCACAAAAGAGGGATTTTG